CTTGTAAGTTATCTATTTTCTAAGAGAAGTACTATCAGAGAGGATAGGTTGGACCTATCTGGAAAGGGCGGCTGAACCATTCTAGGGTTTTCTCCCTTCTATTCTCTAGGGTTTTATAGCAAACCCTACTATTGGGCCAAACTGCCTTAGGGTTCTTTTCTCCCACTCAAGGGTTTGAAAGTGATCTTGCAGCAAACCCTAATAAGCTTGCGGCAAGCCCTAATGTTAGACTGAACCCTGCAATTTACCTGGAGCTGTCCTCAAGTTTTGTTAGCATTGATCAGCTTTTAGGGTTTCATATTAACCCTACTGCAAGTCTATCTGTACGGTACTGATTGGAATGTGCCACTGAAATGTTTTCTTTAAGGACTGATTAAAACCCTAATTCTGCCAAGCATATCAGACCTGCTTCTAAGCTGATTTTTTCAGATCCTTTTGGGGCTTTCAAACTCTCTTAAGGGGTGAGAACTGTACGGACTGCTGCTGTGTTTGCTAGTTGGTTTCAGATCAGATTTCTACCTGTTTTGTGCACATACACTGTGAATACAGATTGGTCCTACACTGTTTTGATTGTGATTGGTAATCCAAGTGCTGTTTTTTGAGACTTGACCGAGATGAGTTTAAAAATCAGGCAAAAGGCAATTTTGGGAACAACAATTATGGTAGTGTTTCTGAGACAGGTGGTCAGATTACAACCGTAAAGTTTGATGGATCAAACTATTTGGAATGGGTCCAATCAGCCGTGATGGCTATTGAGGGAAGAGGTAAATTAGGGTACCTCTTGGGAGATGTGAAAGAACCCCCCAAGGGAGACCCTACGTATACCAAGTGGATCCAAGAAAACTACTTAATTATGACATGGTTGTGTAATTCTATGCAGCCTCATATTAGCCGAAATTACTTGTGGGCAAAGACAGCTAAGGAGATAATGGGATGAGATGAAAGAAACTTATTCCCAACCCCTTAATGTTGCCAGAGCATATGAATWGAAATGTGAAGTGAAAAACCTTAAACAAGGAGAGAAACCGATTTCAGTATACTTCTCTACCTTGCAGTCTCTATGGTGTGAGATTGATCACTTAGAGACTCTTGAGTGGGAGAATCCCAAAGATGCACAGATATATAGAAAGCAGGTCAAGACAAACAGGGTGTTTGAGTTTCTGGCAGGCCTAAATTCAAATTATGATATTGTGCGGCAACAGATTTTGATTAGAGATAGTGTGACTCTCTCTCAGGCATACTCCTTAGTACATAGTGAAGAGACCAGAAGGAAAGTTATGATGCAACCTCAGCCTCTCACACCAGCCTTTGCAGCTGTCAAACCCAAATCAGGGAGTGATTCAGAGAAGGATATGAGGAAGGAAGACAAAAAGGATGTGGTAATGTGAACATTGTAAGAAACCCAAACATACAAAAGAAACATGTTGGAAACTGCATCCTCACTTGGTTCCGGCAAAGTTGAGAAGCAAGAATGGCAATGCTCATGTGGCCGTGAACATTGATTCAGCATCCTCATTTGGCACAAGAGGAACACCTTTAGAAACCTTAGCTGCAGTTCGGGCTGCCCTAATACAGTTAGAAAAGGAAGTTGGAAGTTCAGCTCAGCCACCGCAGTCACCATCAGCTCCTGCCACATCTGCCTTCGCACATTCAGGTACCCGAGCCTCAGCCTACCATGCCTTAGCTCCAGGTACTACTGAACCTTGTTGGGTAATAGATTCAGGTGAATCCGACCACATGACTAGCTTGCCTTCACTGTTTACCACTTACCATTTGTCTTCGGGTAGGGATAAAGTATCTATTGCTGATGGCTCCCTGGTCCCTATTTCTGGGAAGGGTGACAT